TTAGAATTTCACTGGCTTCCCATTCTAACCCTCAACAGATCTTTGAGTCTATCGAGGATGTAGTCACAAGGAAACACAGAAATCACACAGTCAGGGTCAAGAAAAGGAGTCACTGCGGGTCATAACATTCACGAGGTCAGAGCTGACAATAACTCTAGGGCCCTGCTTCCCAGTATGAGCGTGCAGTGAAAGAAACAGCAGGTAAACATTGGGTGGAAATGCTTATTGTTAGGAGCGTAGTGCATCTGCTAAATCTTGGTGAAGCCCGTAGTAAGATTGTATGTCTACAAAAAAAATTTAAAAATGAGCCAGGAAGGGTGATGTGCTCCTATTGGTCCTAGCAACTCAGGAGGCTGAGGCAGCAGGATGACTTGAGCCCAGGGGACCTGCAGTGAGCCACGATGTTACCACTGTACTCTCGTATACCCAGGCTGGTCTCAAACTTCTGGGCTCCACCAAGATTTAGCACATGCACTACGTTGCTAACTCCTGGGTTCAAATGATCCTCCCACCTCCACAATTCATTGACAAAGTCATCAATGAATTCAGAACACTCTTCCCCGTTTTACAGTGGCTTCTTTGATGCTCATTTTATTTTAAATGCTTATAGACAAAACACTCACCTTGACATTTGCCTTTTAGCAGGGCAACAGCATCATAAATCCAAGTGTGAATTAGAACTTAAACTGTGAACTCCTGTGTCACAGGGTAGAACTCCAGAGAGAAAAGTCCCTTAAAAGACTCTTGGAAGCCATGCACAATGGGCTTATAAAAGCCTATGAATTATCACTCTGGTACCATCCCAGCAATCTCTTTCTATATATTTCTTTTTGTCATATTGCACTCATCATTCTCAGATTTACTATCTTCTACTCTGGATTACCCCCAACTCAACTGATCGAGCTTTACGCAAGCATAATGAATAAAATCCCACTTCATTTATGTGCATGTGATTCTCATTCCTCATCCAGGGCTGGGCTGTGCAGTGCAGCAGCCTCTAGTTACACGGGGCTGGTCTACGTTGAGATTCGCCTTTAGGGTAAAACACGAAGACTTTTATGCAAAAACGGAATGTGAACTCCCTCATTAGTGATTTTTCCTGTTGGTTGCATGTTGAAATGATACTTGGGAAACACTGAGTTAAATTAAAAATATTAAAGTTAATCTCACCTGTTCTCTTTTAACATTTAAAACACGGCTACTGGAAAATTTTAGATCTCTCAAACATCTTGCATACGTCTACTGGATGGCACTGAGCTCGATGCTCTAAATCAGAGATCGTTCGCTGGCAGCTGAAGCCCACACAGGACTAACGGCACCGTCTGTATGATCTACACAATGTTAGCCTGGAAGGTGATTTTAATCTCAAACAAGTGTTCATATAAAATTGGGGGAATTTTTGTTTTGAGACGTGGTTTCGTTCTGTTGTCCACACCACAGTGCAGTGGTGACATCGTGGCTCACAGCCCATCTGGGCTCAAGTGAACCTCCCACCTCAGCCTCCTAAGTAGCTAGGCCCGTAAGTGCATACCACCCTGCCTAGCTCTTTTTTCGAGGTTTTTTTGAACTATTTATATTGAGC